CCTTTCTCATCGTCCCCCACCCTTCATCGAGTAGCAGCAGAGGCTATGGCCAACACTCTCCCACACACCACACACAACCCACTCGCGCTCACACTGACACCCGTGTTGGTCATAGACCCCGCTAATACCGATCAGGGGTATCCAGAGGACTATCACAGTCCGTTGGCAGGCGGCCATGGGGCTTGAACCCACAACCTCCTGAATGCCACTTGCATGCCTAACCAACTGAGCTAGGCCGCTGGATAAACCCGCTCACATTTCACGGTACCGGCAGACTCTGTTTCTTTTCTTCTTTTTTTTTTTCGTGAACTGTGCTGGGCTTTAATATTCAAATTTCAAACAAGCATGGGTAGAGGCCGGGGACCTCACAATTCAACCCGGAATACTGAGGCCAATACTCAGCTGAGGCTCATGCTGGAAATCGGGTCTAGCGTCCTTACCTTTTACCTGCAAATGCTTGCAGACTCTTTAACATCTCAATGAGCTCCAAGTGCTAGAACATGGCCAGATGCACTCGCCGCATTTTTTGTCTTTTTCACATTTCGAGAGTGGTGTGGCCAGGCCCAGACTCAGCAGCATCTCAAGCAGCCGCAGCGCCATCCGAAGGCGTCGGCCAATCGGGGACAATGTTCGGTTTCACTGTGGATTGCCGCAGCAAAAAAAAAAAAAAAAAAAAAAAAAAAAAAGGTAGCTCGTGAAATTGTTGTGAACATGCACTTGCCACCAGCTCTCACCCATTCCTGTGTACTACTGTGCCTTGTGGCCCTTAGTCGTCAATCTGGACGACTTCTTGTTTCCAGTCTTGTTCACGAGCACGATCGTTTTTCTTTTTGTCTTCTTTTTTTTTAACACGATCGTTTTTCGAGGAGAGGAGAACACATATCCTGACTGTGGGCGTACTCACAGTAGGACTTCTCTTACGAAGCTCTGGACGTGATTACGGTCGGATGCATCCAGGTCTGGCCGAAATTGACGACACATGCATTTTTAAAAGTGCTCATGTAAGTGTCCGCTGTGTCATACCCTTAACATAGCTTGCAAACATCGATGATGCGGGGAAGTCGTACTAGGAGGTAAATGGAAAGTACCTCCACCATGGAGTTTAAGAAATGTTATAGATACCCCCCGGGACAAATTGTACTTGTTTGCCCCCGGACCGCGGGTAAGTGTAGGAAACCTCCCCTCCGCCCCTCCCGAAAGCTGGTGGCAAAAATTAAGGGGGGCAAGTGTCGGAGGGCCCGAAATCATTGAATGTATTTCTTTCTTTCCTTCATGCATGAAAAGCATAGCAGTAGGTTGTGTCCGGCACAAGAGAGAGAGAGAGAGAGAGAGAGAGAGAGAGAGAGAGAGAGAGAGAGAGAGAGTTCCTGACGGCTGCATGTTGATTGGAAATATCGAAGGGCTCGACAACAGTTGTACACCAAGTGTCGATCTTCAGCAGTGGGCATAGTGACAGGAAAAGCTCAATTTGCAGGCCGTAGTATGCAGACGAAGACGTGCAAACACCAGACACCAACTGTATTATAATGCAAGTGTGCGACAAAGTGGAAAAAAGAAGAAGAAAAGAAGGCAACAACGTGAAAAGGCCAGATGTAGGAAGGCCGGACGTAGATGGAACACGGCCAAGACCATGATGGGTGAAGAAACCATAGACCACATAGATCGGCCTTAACGTTTTGTACCGTCGGATTTACCGTCCCGCTCACATTTCTTTTTTTTTGTTTTGTTTTTTGGGAAAAACCCGCTCACATTTCTTTTTTTTATCCCTTTTCCCTATATTCTTCTCTCAACTTCTGTTTCTTTATCTTCCACTACCTACTCCTAAGACTATCTAGAGGGAACCCCTGCAAGCATAGTTTTCCTCTCTGTGAAGGGGAGATTTCATGTTGCCCCTTGCCCCTAATGGTTAGGGTATAGGGTT